GGGCTGGAGTCGGAGTGTGCCGACTATATGTGAGTTGTCCGTTCTCGGGTACTGTACGGGGCTCCGGTGTGGGCAGAAGATCTGATGGCGAGTCGTCGCAGTCTGATTTTACTGAGGAGGCTGCATAGGACGACCGCCATCAGGATCATAAGGGGATACTGAACGGTATCTTACGCGCTGGCGTATTCACCGTTCCAGCTCCAGGCCTTGGCGCTCCGAGGGGTGTACAAAAACCTGAGAGGCCTGGTCAAACCAGAGAAGATCAGATTCAGAGCCACCGGGCCGTTAGATCGGTCCTTCCGAACTGGGAAGTTTGAACGAACAGCGAAGGGCTCCCGTTATCCTTCCGGATGACACAGGTGTTCGCTGGGCATGGAGTATTCGGTAAGTCCCTGCAGAAAATTGGAAGAGAGGTGACGAGCATCTGTCACCACTGCGGAGAGGGTGAGGACACGGCTGAGCACACGCTGGAGTTTTGTCCAGCATGGGAGGCCCCCCGCCGTGTTCTACGACAAGCGATTGGCGAAAGTGTGGATCCCTCGGCAGTGGTAGAAGGTGGTGCTGAGAAGGAAACAGAAGTTCCTCACAGTCCGCTCCTATTGCGAAGAAGTAATACTCACAAAGGAGCGGGCAGAGTGGGAGAGGGCGAGAACATCCCACCCTTGTAGGGTTCTGCGCTGAAGAGCGGCCCCGCACTACCCTAGGTGGTCATAGTGGCCACCGAGCAGGCGGCTCTAAATGGCGGCTCCAAACGACATAGGAACCGCCGAGGAGGACACGAGGGACAGGTGGCGATCCCAGCTGATCAACGAGGGAGGCAAACATCGGGGCGCGGAGGCGGTTCTCCCAAACTGGGAGGCATGGAGAAGCCGCCACGGCCTCCCGCTCACATTCAGAATGACCCAGGTGCTCACCGGACACGGCGTGTTCGGCGAGTTTCTGAAGAGAATCGGACGAGAGACGACAGACATCTGCCACCACTGCGGAGAGGGCAGGGACACGGCGCAGCACACCCTGGAGCTCTGTCCGGCGTGGGAGCTGCCCCGCTATACTCTGCGACACGCCATAGGAGGAACATTGACCCCCCAGCGGTTGTAGAGGCGATGTTGAGAAGGCCACAGGAATACGAGGCCGTCCGCCTCTGCTGCGAGCGAGTTATGCTCGCGAAGGAGCGAGCGGAAAGGGAGAGAAAGAAAAACTCTCACCCTTGCATACCCGAAGAATAGGGTCTGCGTATGATGAGCAACAGGACAGAAACCGGTGGAATGTTTACTGTCTCGTGCCGCTACAAATATTTCTTTTAAGGAGAGCTATAGGATTACTCCATACCTTTGTCAGACAAAGCGTTCATCCCTTGGCCGCGGCTACGTTGGGCGACAGACTGTCGCCTCGAGCCCAAGTTCATTATCACAAGTCTCGAACAAGTACGATCGAAGTGAATAACTACAATTGTTTAATTACAGCTATGATAGACTCTAGATTACAATGTTGGACTCTAGATTACATTAAATTGGACAGAAAACGATATTTATTTAACGGAAACTCTCTCTCTCTCTCTCTCTCTCTCTCGACTCGATTAGCTCTGACTCTCGCAATACGCACACTTTTCGACTCGCACACTCTGACCTTCCGGTCGTCCCGCCTTGATAAACGAAACCGTCCTTCTCGTCTAACGTTGTCTATTGTTTTCCTCATACCTATGTAAGAACTAGGTGACTTTAATCATGTCGGCACTCTTAAATGTAAACGAACCACAGAAAGACGACGTACACAGTTTTTTCTATTTTCAACCGATCTCTACCTACCAACCTTTCAACCGATCAGTTCAAACTACCTTACGATATTACAATAGATGCACTTTGGTATGTTACCAGCGAAACAATACATCGTGACCTTAAGATACCCACAGTTAGAGAAGAAATATCCAAATTCAGTAATAGATATGTGGTATCATGAATGAGGGGTCTGGGGTGTATCTTGTGAATTATAAAAGAGCGATTGCTGAGCATGTACGTAGTGAGGCTAAGACAAAAGACAAGGGGTTGCTAGGGGACAATAAACGAATTAACAGTAGTATGAGTTGAGATGTCAGAGAGTGCGGATTGCGTTGATGAGAGTCGTTGATTAATTATTCAGTTGTGTTAATTATTATGTGTTTGCTGCGATCAGTTCATGTTTAACAAACATTATTCTCTGTTCAATTAACACCTGTTCAATCTACTTATCACTAATAAACTAATATAGTAGTTTCGTTATTACAGATATAACATAAGAGTTAACAACCACCAAAACCCATCAGTTACTCAATTACGTGACACGACGGATCAGATCAGCAGAATAAAAAGACATTACCCTCTAGATTTAAACATTAGATTCAGCCAGAATCAAACAGACGATAATCACCTATTATACACAATATAGTACCACGCTAGAATAATTTACTTATAATTCTCAATGAGAACTGATTGTAAAAATTCTTCCAAATAAAAAAAAAGGACTTGCCGGCCTTAACGGTAAATAAAAAAACCTTGTTTTATGATAGTTCCTTAGGATTATTGCTTAATTCTATGTGCACCGTGTAAGTCACCGGACGTAGTAGAAAATATGCAGCTTTGCAAGCCGACAGTGATACACAAAATCAAGCTCGCTGTCCTGCTTAGTGTATAGACAATCGTAATTGTTTCTATTTAACATATGTAATTTATTGTATTTTTATTGTATTGAACTGTATTTTATTTGTATTTTATTGTATTGTATTTGTAATTTAGTGTAACTTATTCTATTTAACATTTTAGATTTCGGAAGTAATTGTAAATGAAGACTGTAGTATACCGAAGGAGGAGCAAGGTGTCGCTGGCAAGCGTGGTTTAACGGGAATAATATTTGTTATGAAAATAGCTGGTGCGTTAGCAGAACAAGGGCTATCACTTGAAGAAGTGACTAAAACTGCACATGATGTTTTGCAAAATATAGCCACTTATTCGGTTGGGTTAACAGCATGTGCAATACCCGGTTAGTATCCAGATATTACTTACACAAGATGTAATTGGAACAAATTGTTTTGTTATATTCTCAATCATAAATATACTTATTTACTTTAAATCATACCCATCTTACCATTATTAGTAACTACATCATAATTACTCTGAGGATGTTCATAAAAATGCATATTTTTATATAAGAGACGTAAAGTAATGTAACCTAGGTAGGCTGGAGGATGATATCGGATGAACCATACATAATGATGAGAGAAAGCCTATGTGCAGACAGACTGAAAGGGGTGGGAAACTTCAATATGCCAAGAGGTCAGTTCTTTAGCCGAATAGTTACGCGGAAGAAGGCGTACGTTTTTTTTTTTTTAATATTTCATTCGTACTTTACAATTTGTCCAGCTGAACATTTGGTAAGTTTTTCTAGCTTAATTGCAATATAACATGTGCTACCCCAGCGGGTTACCATATTCCAGTGACTATTTTATTTCCATAGTGAGGTCAATGGGGTGCTTTCTTTTTAGTCTTCTATCTATGAGAGTTCTTGAAAAAAATATAAAAAATGATGACAATACGGAAAAGACATCGTTTCTTACTATAGGTGGACTAGAGCAATGGCAAGTCGTTTATTTTAATATTGCTCATTGAAAATACTTAACATTACTAATCTTATAGTAGCAACAACAATAAAACTGTCGTTCATTAAGGAAACGTTGTCAGCCGTTAAATATTCGGAAAATATTTGCATTCCGTTTTCTGCTTGCCCATTGAGGAAGGGAGGAAGGCACTGCTACAACCTATCAGTCAATGACAAGACAAAGACTTAAATAGGAGAGACGAAAGTGGCATCATATAAGGTAGTTGATTATTGATAAGATCATCAGATATCAATTGTCTCTTACGAGAATTTGTGAATAATCCATTTAAGGCTGCAAGTGCTCAAGACCAATGGAAAACTATTTCGTAGCATAGATGTATAATACTTCTCTCTGGTGTCATCATGTAACTACCCTAAAAGGAAGTTGGTGTTTTGTACAACCACAATGTGTACTACAGAGATTAATTTATGGCGCCAGTTTCAATTCTGCAAATTCAACATTAATATGAGACAAGAAGATGATACATAGTTTATTGGCCTATTAAATAACTTACGGTTTGCTGTAGTAACAATTCTTCTAATAAAAATACTACTCTAGCTGGAGAGTTTGAGAAGGGCGCAGCAGTAAGAATATTACCGACAGTAAAATTAATGGACGAATATAACATAAAAATCATTGATAATTTAACGAAATTAATTTATATGTACATTATTAATTCATTACACAAATCTTAGGAAGTAACTACATATGGAGAAAGACCACTAGAAAACGTTATTGCTAAAAATATAAATAACAGTAGAGGATTCTTGTATATAATAACGTAAATTGAGCGATCATAAGAGCGACAAAACATGTCAATTTTTGTATGGTTTAATAAAGGGCGCAATAGAAATTGTAAAGAAATTTACATAGCCAACTCTTCGAAGAGATCAGCTGGAAGAGGGAAAATTGTCGGACTCAGTACTTATAAAATTTTACGATGAATCCATTGGAAGCAGATTCAAAGATATCGATAGCTAGATTCCGATATCTCCAGTAGAAATAACATTTTAGGTGACGAAAGCTAATGAAGACACTGAACGAAGAATGTTATCGTTTACTCTAAGCTGGGTAGTAATCATACATAAATTACAAGGGACTACACTAAATAGAGATATAATTGATCTTCCTAAAGAAAATTTTGGAAATAGCCAAGTCTACGTCACTCTTAGTCATGTGATAAGTTTAAACGGCCTATCCGTATCTAATTTAGTACCAAACAAAATTCTCAATAATACGCATGACGAAAGAGCATTTGTAGAAATACAAAGACTTCTTTCGTAAAGAAAGAGTTCTGGTCTATTTCATATGAACAATGTCTTTACACCTTATAAGATGAAATGTAAGCATATTTAAAACGAAGAATTAGTAATAAAAAAAACACGGATCAAATTAGCTTTGAGCGACAAACCTATGTGCAGAAATGGACGAAGTAAGCTTCCATAGAAAATTTTACAAGGAAATGGCCCAGTTTCATCGCTTCCAGTGACAACGATCAGACATAACGAAATGATATCAGTGAATAATGGGTAATTTGCAACAACAATAGTTAAGAATGAAGAAAATGAATCAGTTTTTTAGTGGAACTAACAAGAAAACATGCCCTACAAGATGCAAAAAGAATCATCTCAATTGATCTAACCGTTCCGAAAAAATCGGCGGATATACATAAAAAGAAAGAAAAAAATACAATATACTCATCGAATTGAGAAAAATGCCATTTAAATAGCCCTTTTTAACATATTAAAGCATGAAAAATGTGGCTAACCAAATTGCTCACTATTACCTTAATTCAATGATGAAACCTTTTTATTTACAATTTTTTTCAAATTAAACTTTTACTAACGTGTTTATGAGATTCTTCTAATTAAAATGAGATCAAAGGCAATATACTTCAAATCACACTTACATAAATATTTCATAACTGAAACTGGGTGTTATTTTTAATTTATTTACGTATAGTCCTTTTATAACTGCAAAATCAAACAAGAAAACAATTTTGTTTAGATCTGTCAGCCAGTATGTTGGCCTTCCTGTGGGTAATATGTTGAGATTACTAGTTCTAATATATTTTTTCTAGTGTTCTACCTCGAGGTGTGTTAATTCTTGAGCCTTATAGCGTGTGTTTTGCATTGAAGTCTCCCGTAGCGATGTATTTGTCACCTAAGGATTGAAAATACTGTTCTTATTTTTGAAATGCCATTTTATATCGCGGTGGTGTATATACTGCTGACATCTGGAAGTAATTGCTGTTAGTTTGTATTTTAACGGTAGTTGCTTGAACGCGTCCCACGCTAGTTTCACTATGTTAATGGTGTTTGATATCGTTTCTTATTATCGCTGCAGTCCCTCCGTGTGCTTTTCCTGAGGGGTGTTTGGTATCATAGATGGGGTAATATGGTATTTTCATGTAGCTTTTTGGTGTGAAATGTGTTTCTGAAACAAG